ATCAAATCAGTCAATCCTAAAGGAAATCAACCCTGAATATTCATTGCAAGGACTGATGCTGAAGCTGAAGCTCCAATACTTTGGCCACCTGATGCAAAGAGCCGATTCATTAGAAAAAGACCCTGATGTTGGGAAAGATTGAAGGCAGGAGGAGAAGGGGACAACAGAGGACAAGATGGTTGAATGGCATCACCAATTCAATGGACATGAGTTTGAGCAAGGTCCGGGAGTTGGTGATGACAGGGAAGCCTGGCGTGTTTCAGTCCATGGGGTCGCAAAGAGCTGGACTGATGACTGAGCAACTAAACTGAACTGAATTTAATGGACTAAGGACTAACCTGGTAGCTCAGACGGTATAGAATCTACCTGCAATGCAGGAGACCAGAGTTTGATCCCTGGTCAGGAAGATCCCCTGGAGAAGGGAATGGCAACCCACTCCAGTTTTCCTGCCTGGGAAAGCCATGGTCAGAGCAGCCTGGCAGGCTACAGTCTATGGGATGGCAAGACTAGGACAGGACTTAGCAACTAACACTTCACTTCTTTGATGGGCTTTAAGACGCCGACTTTGCCAGCAGGTGGGGGAAAGGATTTCAAGTCTAGAGAACTGTAAGTGCAAAGGCCCTAAGGCCAGAAGGTGTTTGTCTTTTTGGCAGGATAGAAAACCAGGCCATTCGTTCCTGAGATAACTCCAGAAGACATTGGCAAGGCTTGACTTGAATTCTGAAATTTCTCCTGAATGTTCCTCCTGGGAGATTGCCCAAGGGACTTTCCAATGGCCCCTTGGTATTTGTACGAATTCTTTAACTCTGTAATAAATGTTCTTCAACAAATAGCTGTCACACTCATTCTCTCCATGTCAGGAAACAGGTTTCTAAATCTCACTTTATGTTTTGCCTCCTCCAGAGTGTGGAACCACTAACCTCAAAGATAATTTAATCTAGCCTTAAAAAAATATGTTTGATGATGTAAAATACACATTTCCAGAGCCCAGATGCACTATGCAGAAGACCCAGAGTGCGTGCTGGAGGTGAGCAAGGTTCTGGAGTTTTGAAATTTTTATCAAAAGCCCCAGTGGTTTTTAATACTATAAGAGAGTTTAAGCAGCGCTGATATAGTCCAACCATCCCCCCTCTTTTGGACATAATTTCATACTTTAGAAACATGTTGCCAAATAGTAAAAAGAATTCCTCGGTAGTTTTCACTCCCCCCCCTTTTGGTATTTATATTACTCTCTAACAGTGAGAAACTTGACTCCCCTTATCTGCAATGTATTTAATGTCATTTCAGAACTGCTAATCCATGTCTTCAAAAAGGCCAACTAATTAGAATTCAGTGTTTCAAGTTCTTTTTGTCTTGAGCCGGAGGGCATATACTGTAGTCTAAGTAGTCCAACTTGGGTAAGTGATAGCTCCCTTTCTGTGTGAGTATATTATTCATTTGAGATATGATTCTGCTCAGATCATCTGTGTTTTTTGCATTAATATTACACCCTCCCCCAAGTTTGTTGACTTTATTGTTTTTTGAGTAGGTAAGACATTAACATCTGATCATTCATTATACAGATGGGCTGGGGATGTGAGATTATGTTGTCAAGGCCACTGAAACCTTGGGTGTGCTGTGTGTTGGGTGCTCAGGGCACCTGGTCTCCACCTTACACCTTTCATCAAACACTCCACGCTTTGGTATTTTCTGGTGCTTACTGGTTACTAGGTTCCCACAGCTGGACTTGTTTAGCTGGGAGCTTGGATTAATTATGGTTTCAAGTCTCTGTAGTATCAACCCCTTTTCAGTGATTTACATAAGACCCTCCCAGTCCAGTATGGCAGTTTCTTATCAAGTTAAACTTATATTGAGCACAGGACCAGTAATCCTACCCAAGAGAAATGAAAATATCTATGTGTACATAAATAACTTTTACACAAATTATTATGTCAGTTTCATTCATAATTGCCAAAAAGTGGAAACAGCTTAAATGTTCATCAGCCAGCGAATGGGTAGATTGTCATACAATGGAATACTAATCAGCAATAAAAAGGGAAAATATTCCTGATAGATGCAACACATGGATGAATCTCAAAAAGGTTATGTTGAGTTAAAGAAGAGACATTCTGGAAAAGACAGAAATCTAAGGAAAGAAATCAGAAAAGTGGTTGCCAAGGACTGGGAATAGGGAAAGGTGATTGCAGAGGGGCAGCACAAGGAATTTTTGGTGTGATGGGAATATTATACATTTGACTGTGCCAGTCATTACAGGATGGTGTATGTCAAATATATAGATGGCACAAATAAAAAGGTGAATTTTATTATTATATGTAAAGTATACTGCAATAAACCTGACCTTCTAAATGTTATTTATTTATCTTTATTTTTGGCTGTGCGGGCTCTTCGTTGCCACGCTTGGGCTTTCTCCAGCTGTGGTGCATGGGCTTCTCCTTGTGGTGGCTTCTCTTGTTGGTGAGCACAGCCTCTGCGGCGTGTGGGCTCAGCAGTTGCAGCTCCCGAGCTCTAAAGCACAGACTCAGGAGCTGTTGCCCAGGGCTTCGTTGCTCTGCAGCATGTGGGATCTTCCCAGGTCTGGGATCGAACCCGTGTCTCCTGCAATGCCAGGAGGATTCTTTACCACTGAGCCACTAGAGAAGCCCAAACCTGATCTTTGAAAAAGCCTCCCACTTCTACCCTCTAGCCTTCTTCTCCCGAACTCCTCCGCTGCTTGGCTCTGTAATTCTAGGGGGAAACGCAAATCTTTAACCAGCTATGGGGAGTGCTTGACCATTTCTGAACAGAGGAATAAGATAATGAATTGGCATTAAAACATTGTCAGTGAACTTTGATAAGAATATAAATGAGTGAGAAAGAAGAAACTGGCCTGAAGAAAAGCTAGGGGTGATAAATTATAATTGGGTCTTCCATGGGATGTTCTGTGAAGGGATGGGCTCATTCATTCCTTCAAACACACGTGGAGCATCTTCATTGCTGGGCACGGGGGACACGATTGTGTCGTCTAGTCAGGATGTGGGGATAAGCTGGGGGTGGTGGTTTAGTTGCTCAGTTGTGTCTGACTCTTTGCAACCCTATGGACTGCAGTCCTCCAGGCTCCTCTGTCCACGGGATTCTCCAGGCAAGGACACTGGAGTAGGTTGCAATTTCCTCCTCCAGGGGATTTTCCTGACCCTGGGATTGAACCTGTGTCTCTTGTATTTGCAGGTGGATTCTTTACCGCTGGGGGAGTAGCAATCACAAATTGGGATGTGAGCTCTGAAGCAAATCTGAGGGAATGACTTGGAGGTGGTGTGCAGAGGACTATGGGTAGAGAGCAGGGATCCAGCATCCAGAGCAGGGTCGTGGGCAGAAGATCTGCTGAGAACTGAGGGTCAGGAGGCGTTGTCAGAGGAAGGGAGGGAGGCGGGCTTGGCAGCAGAGGGAAAGCTGTGTGAGCCCAGTGTGTTCAGGGCACAGAAGGTCATCATGGCTGGAGGGAGGCAAGGGGAAATGATAGGTGATGAGCCTGGAGAGGAAGAACCCCAGGGCCTGTTGAGGGTGTCCAGCAGTGGGAACTACTGTAGTACTACAAGTAGGGAAATGATCAGATCTGACATGATCAGATCTGTGATTAGTGGTGACCTGGCTGCAAAATGGAACCAGGGTTGAGGGGAAATGATAGGTGATGAGCCTGGAGAGGAAGAACCCCAGGGCCTGTTGAGGGTGTCCAGCAGTGGGAACTACTGTAGTACTACAAGTAGGGAAATGATCAGATCTGACATGATCAGATCTGTGATTAGTGGTGACCTGGCTGCAAAATGGAACCAGGGTTGAAAGACGGCAGCAGGGAAGTCTGTTAGGATACTGTTTCAGTCATCCAGACAAGAGATGGTAGTGGTCAAGGGGACGGACAGGAGGGTTTTAAAAGCTATTTAGTTGATAGAAATGTCAAGATTTGGTGACTGATCATTGGAATAGAAGGAGAGGCAAAAGTCAAAAGTGGTACCTTGCACTTGGGTGGGTGGATAGATGGTGATGCTTGAGGGAGAACAGGTTCAGGAGAAGAGATTAGGATGGTGTTCCATGTGAGGTGCCTGTGAGGCACCTAAGTGAATTCAGCAGGCTGTTGGACATATGGCTCTGGAACTCAGAAGAGCAAACATGGGTGGTATGTGAGGCCACAGGAATGGTTGGGAGTGCCTGCACAGCTAGTGAACAGCAGGTGAAAAACCTTAAGCCACAATATTTAAGGCAGAAAAAGGAACTCAAAAATGAGGCTGAGAAAGAGGGGCCAGAAAGCTAGGAGTAAAAGCAAAGAAACGAGAAGAGAGGAAATATTTTTTAAACCGGTAAAAAGGCAAAGAAAAGAAAGAACAAAAAAATTTGGCATCAATGAAACATTGATCTTGATGAGAAGAGTTCCAATGGAAAGACTGAGGCCAAAGCCAGGCTACTGTGTAATTAAGAGGTAATTCGCCAGCAGCCCAGGCCAATTCCTAAATGACGCAGATCCCAAACTCACACCAGGCTTCCCTGGTGTTTCAGATGGGAAAGAGTCTACCTGCAGTGCAGGAGACCCAGGTTCGATCCCTGGGTTGGGAAGATCCCCTGGAGAAGGAAATGGCAACCCCCTCCAGTATTCTTGCCTGGGAAATCCCATGGATGGAGAAGCCTGATAGGTTACAGTCTGTGGGGTCTCAAAGAGTTGGACACGACTGAGTGACTTCACTTCTTCTTACTTCTCAACCTCACACTTGACAACAAAATTCAATGGTTCAAAGACTTAAACATAAAAAAGCAATAGGAAAAATATAAGATTAAAGACATTTTTTAAATGTTAGAGTACAAAAGGCTTTTTTTCTGGTGTGACACAAAACAGAAGCCACAGAAGAGAATGCTGTTAAATTTGCCTACCTTAAAAATTTCCCTAAGCTGTCACAAGGCAACATAAGCAAAATTATGAACTATAGAAAATTTGAGCTCAGATTTTGGATGAGGACTAATTTCCTTAATATGTGAAGAGCTTTTACAAATCAACAAGAAAACTAACAATCCAACAGAACAAGGAGGCAAAGGATATGAACATGATTCTTAGAGCAGGAAATACAAATGGCTGTTGAACACAGGCACAGACACCCAATTTCATTTACCACAAAAGAAAATTTAAATTTGTGATTTTTTTTTCATCTATTAGATCAACATCCACAGAAAAATTTGGTAACATTTTGCTGTCTGAAAAATGTGGAAAAACAGGGTCCTCTCATACATGCCTTGCAGGATTATGCGTTTGGACATTTATGGAGGACAATTTGGCAATACCTGTGGAACATTATGCGTGACAAGTATACTCTTTAACACAGTAGTACTCTGTAAAATGAATTTCCAAGTTTATCCACTGTAACTATGTAACAACAAAGATAGGAACCATCTTTATGTGGAACATTATGGGTTGAGGATATTATGTCTATTCTTACCGGTGTCTGATCCTGTAGAAAGTTGAGGAGAACGGGACTACAATTCCATGAGAGCAAAGATATAGGTGTGTATTTGATGGTCACTGGTTTAGGGGCAAAGGTCGAAGTGAGAATCAGTTCATCTTAGGAAAGAGTGGTTCCGGGAAGAGCTAGAGAAACCAGAGAGGGAGATTCCCGGAAGGACAAAGAAGAGAGAGAAAGGAAGCCAAGATGATGCGATGATCTGGAAGCCAAAAAGTGAGTCTGTCTCTGCCAAGGGTACAGACTAAGGACTGGACACTCCTGGGTCGGAACGACACTGCTGATCTCTGAATCAATCCTGGACTTGCCCTTCCATTGGACTTACTGGGATATGGGAAAAGAAATTGTCAGTGTCCTCAGAGAACATGGATGGGGTTTATTTCCTAATATCTGAGCCTAGCTTCCCCCTCCAGCCCGGGAGCCCAGACACCAGGCTGCCAGAGCACTGTCTGCGTCGGTCGCCTAGGAGACGCGCACCACATCCTACTGAGCAGGCGCCTTTTCTGAGGCCACGCCCCCTTTCCGCGGACGGGCGCTGATTGGCCCGTTTGAAATGCGCCGGGCGCGAGCTCACCTGGGCCCTCAGCGGCGTTTCCCGGATTCCTCAAGCTCCGCGCTTGAGCCGCGGAGTTGTGGTACCTGCGGCCAGTCCCGGAGGCCCGCCGATCTCGTCAACCCCCGACAGAGTCCGGCATCCCCTCCGCGCGCGTCTGGGCAGTTCGGAGCTTACTACCATGAAGCCAGCGTGAGTACTGGGTCGCGGAACTGGGGCCGGCGTCTCCCCTCGCCGCGGCAGGTCCCCGGCCGCGCCCTGGGCACCAAGCCCTGTGCCGCCAAGCCCCCCCACCGGGACCGCCCAGGGGGAGACGGGCGTGAAGACCCGTCCTCGTCCGCCCGGTCTAGCTCCCCGCCTCCCGGAGACGGGCACCTGGCTCCCCGCCCTGGCTACACTCGGCTGGGAAGGGCCGGCCCCACGTTGGGAGGGGCGGGGGGTTTGGGCCGGGACCGCCGCCTCCTATCATTTCTCTAATTCCCCTTTCCCTCCCTGGCCGCCCACACCCGCGGGTTGCATTTTGCCCAATTAGTGCGGGTCGGGGGTCGTCTCGCGGGTGGGCCTGGTGTTGTGTCCTGGGTTTGGGGTTGGGTAGGTGGTCTCAGCCCCTGAAGAGCCCTTGGCATCCGGGCGCACTGCCTGCCTTTCCGAGTCTAATTCGGTAGCTTCGGGGCCGCGACCACCCTAGCTCTCCCCCCGGGTGTAGACCAGTTACTTTCGCTCTGTTCTTTGGTCTCAGACAGCCCCGCCCCCGGCCACAAACGCCCACATTCCTCACGAAGTTGGTGACATTTGCGCCGCAGCCTAATTCCTTGACCGCTACTGGGTAACGAAATACTTGTGCAAAGAAGGTTGACTTCATAATCATCATTATGATGTAGCTAGTCGTTTGCAGAAAACAGCTTGTTTTCTTAAGAAGCTAAAGTCAAAATTTTTATCTTTGGGGAAAAATAAAAATGTTGAGTTTAAGTAAACCTACCATAATATTTTGCACTTTAAACAGGAATTTGATTTGTTTCATTGGGAAAGTGCTGAGAAAATATTTTAACAACCTGTATAGTTCAAGCCAATAATTTCACTTAGTGTTAAATGTTTATCTCATCTATAGATAAATGGGGGGGAGGGAGGAGTGTCATACTTGAGAAGTGGTGAAATAAACCAAAATATCTTTTTCTACTGCCGCTACTTAAAAGAGCACAAAATTGCAGTTTGGGGACCACATTTTGTCTGGGAACAAAGGATGATAGTTTTGAGAATTCAGTAGTCACTTGTTCATTAAAAATAAAGACATAAATCTTGATCAAAGGGTGGATTTCTTCATCTGCATTTTTATAATTTAGAAATTAATCACTTGGTCTGCCTTGGCAATGGGCTAAGCCCAACATGTGTGCTTTTACAAAATGCCTTTTGAGATAAGTGTGCTCAATTATCTGTTGAGTTTTCAAATTTGTAATGCCTGTAAAGTTGTTGGTCAAGAAAGCAAACCACTTAACATACAGAACTATAAGTAGATATTAAAAAAAACCAGGGGTCTATCAGGCAGATCACTTTACCAGTGCTGACCAGGTAATTCCAGATTGACTGGTTTAAGATTCTACTCCTGGGAGTGGTTGGAACTCTAAGTTAGGTATTAAGTCACAATTTGGTGACGTGGAATTTAGCACAGATAACTCCATTTTGGGCCTGTTCTTTCTTTTTTTGGTGCCACAAATGTCTCCTAAGCCAAATTTTAATTATTTTTAAGTTACACATGTCACAAACACTCTCCTACTAAGGCAGTTTGTACGTATTCATATTATTTGGGGCATAGTGTTTTGGAACTGCTAAAGACTAATTTTATAACCCCTAGGAAGATTGTCTCTGTATGAACTATAGGTTAGGTTTTTATATGTTAGTGTTGAACTGAAGTGTTTTTGTTTCTATGACCAGGAGGACTAAGACACCCAGGAAACCACCAGTGAAAAAAGGATCCCAAACGAGTCTTAAAGACCCAGTTGGGGTAAGGTCTGCCTGTGAATTTGTGTATTCTTTCTTCAGTCCCTTTATGTTTTGTATGCTTGAAAGGGACAGAGATGTGGAAGTGGAATCAAAGAACATTTAGCTAAAAGGACTGTACTAAATTGCTTAAGGCTGGTTCCAGCTTTGAAATTTTGTTTCTGTATAGGATTTATTAGTCCAGTAAAATGAAGCCTTTTGTTGTTTGCATACTTCCTGTAACTACTTATATTTGAAAAGCTAGATAATGAAAAAATATTCTTTAACTGTCTTGGAGATATTCTTCATAGTCTCTGGGATGGGGGGAAGCTTTGTGCTTGGATGAACATCTCTCCTATCTTTACGACAGTTATATAGTAACTTACTGCACACTTCAAGAGGAAAGCCCCAAATTCCATGCTATTGGGGATCAAGTTTTATAGACTCTGGTTTAGAACAGTTTCATTTATCTCGTGACTACTCTATGAACTTCACTAGTTTCAGGCTTGGGAACTTTTAAAAGCAAATGGTAAATAAAAGAAAGTTGGCTTGCTCTGGGAATTTTTAAAAGCAAATGGTAAATAAAAGAAAGTTGGCTTGCTCTGTTTTTTTTTTTTTTTTTTTTAATTAGGAAAAAAAATTTTTTTCTTTCCTTTTTTTTTTTTTTATTTTGCTCTGTTTTTTTTTTTTTTTTTTTTTAAATTTTCCCTTTATTGGCACTGGAGTGTTATCTCTTTATTTGAGTTGTGGGAACCAGATGCTTTGCATATACAGCTTTCTCCCAACCCTATCATTGATTAAGAAGATGACGTTTTGAATCTTGCACTTTAGTATATTGTGTTAAGCTGGCAAGTTTTAACTGACATCCAATTCCAAACAATCCTAAAAGCTTTTGAGATATTTTTCATTGTGTGATATGTTCTTGATTTTTAGAGTTTTCATTTTGTGTGCATTTAAAATTCTCTCATATAAAAAAAAATTCTCTCATATCTAATATATCTGTTTTGCATTTGACAGTCAGCAAGTTGGGTAGCAGATTTTTGGCTTTCATAGCTGTTTATATAGCTCTCTTAAGTTTAGATGTTAAATGTTGGTTGATGAATGAATAAATGAGTGAAGGAAAAGTCAGGTAAAAAGTCAACCTTTGTTCTTTAAGCACCCTCTTGTATTTTCAGGTGTACTGCAGGGTACGCCCACTGAGCCTTCCTGAGCAAGAGTGTTGCATAGAAGTAATCAATAATACAACAGTTCAGCTTCATACTCCTGAGGGTTACAGACTGAACAGAAATGGAGACTATAAGGAGGTAATTCTGTTTGGAACCAACTGTTTTTAATCGACAGGTTCTTTCTTGAATTGGTTTTCTATTTTTTAAAATATGACAAAATTCATGTTTCCACTTTATTGAAAGACTTATTTACTTCAGTCTAACAACCATATTAAAAGTGTCTAATTTCTGGGTTGTATAAACATGCTTTTGGTATACTGAAATTACAAGATTGTTTTTAGATGATAATTTCTTATACTGGATATTTATTGCTTTTTAGAGCATATGTTAAGTGAAGTTGCTCAGTCGTGTCTGAGTCTTTGCGACCCCATGGACTGTAGCCCACCACGCTCCTCTATTCATGGGATTTTCCAGGCAAGAGTATTGGAGTGGGTTGCCATTTCCTTCTCCAGAGCATCTTCCCAACCCAGGGATTGAATCCTGGACTCCCGCATTGTAGACAGACGCTTTACCGTCTGAGCCACCAGGATAGTTTAATGTGGAATGATATCTGATTGTTCTAGGCAGTTATATATATATAGTTCCATGTGTGGGATTGAAGTAACATTTAATAGGCGTTGTATACTTGTATCAATTTCTTATGAAGTGTTTTTATTTTTGTAAAATGTTAAGCAGAGTTCAGTTCAGTAAACATGTGCTAAGCTGGAGGGTGGAAGGAGACTTTTAAAAATGAGTAAGACAGGCTCCTTGCTTTTATGGAGCTTACAACTTAGTTGGGAGCACAGATGCTAAGCAAGTAATGTTCATAGGTGACAGAGATGTGCTTAAAGAAATGGACTCTGGGAATGCAGGAGAAAAAAGATTAATTCAGGCTGTCAACTCTTGTAGCTGCCTTTACTCTTTTATGTGCACTACTCCAGGGAGATTGTTAGTCAGAAGCCTACGAGTGGCCTCTCTGGTGATGTAATGTGATGGACACATCTTTGTCTTCATTATGATCTGTTTCTCAGCAGCACTGTCCTGTCTTCCCCCTCGAACTTTCCATGTTCTATCTTTTATCCATAGCTTTACACATTGATTATATGGTAATAATTTTGGAAATTTTATCTTCAGTCTACATCTTTTCTCTAAACGGAACATCCACTGTTTGGATGCCACATAGGCATGTCCAAAAGAACTCTTGATTCTTTTTCCCCTCTAGATCAGTACTTCCCTTGTTTTTTCTTTTCAATAAATAGCACCACTACCATCTATTTGCTCAAACCAGAAGCCTTGCCCCTACCTTTCTCTTGGGGGCTTTCCTAGTAGCTCAGTTGGTAAAGAATCTGCCTGCAGTGCAGGAGACCTGGGTTTGATCCCTGGGTTGGGAAGAGCCCCTGGAGAAGGAAATGGCAACCCACTCCAGTACTCTTGCCTGAAGAATTCCTTGGACAGAGGAGCCTGGCAGGCTACAGTCCATGGGATCATAAAGAGTCGGATGTGACTGTGTGACTAACTTTCACTTTTCTCTTATACCTCCTCATATCCAGTTCATCAGTAGATCCTATCAGTTCTACTCCAGTGTATATCTTGAAACTGTCCTTTTATTTCTGTCTCTACTGCTGCTACCCTTGTCTGAGGTCTGTTATTAATTATGGAGACTAGTGCTTCTCAAACTGTCTGTGGTAAAGAAGCAACTTTTTATTTTCAGTGCTTTGTGACTGATACTTTTATGCAGCTTTGCCACAAGAAACTGTTACACAATTGTTAGGCAAAGTTAGACAAAGGAGAACTGGTTTTTAATCTGTTCAGAGTAAGCTCACTGATCACATGCTGGGATGTTGCAACCATGTGAAATGACTACAGAGGTTCTGAGCAATTACTCTCTATCTCTGTAATTACTTCCCCTGGACAGGAGACTGATAGCTTTCATAGGGGCACTGGGCCACCTGCTGTACATACTTTGAGTGGCATTGACAAGACTGTGCTGAAGCCAACTGGACCACCTGCTTCCTTTCTGAATCTTCTCTGATCTGCTGCCACAGAGCAGCCAGTCAAAGCAGAAGTCAGACCTCACTATTTTCCTTTTTTTTTTTTTAATTGAAGTACAGTTAAGTTACAGTGTTATATTAGCCTCTGGTATACAGCAAAGTGATTCAGTTGTACATATATGTATGTATTCTTTTTCATATTCTTTTCCTTTATAGTTTACTACAGTATACTGACTACACCTGCCTGTACTATACAGTAGGATGTTGTTGTTTATCTATTTTATATATGTTGTTGTTCAGTTGCTAACTTGTGTCTGACTCTTTGTGACCCCATGGACTGCAGCACTCTAGGCTTCCCTGTCCTCCAGTATCTCCCAGGGTTTGCTCAAACTCATGTCCATTCAGTCAGTGATGCCATCCAACCAGCTCATCCTCTGTTGCCCCCTTCTCCTCCTGCCTTTAATCTTTCCCAGCATCAGGGTCTTAGTACTTTGTATCTCCTAATCCCAAACTCTTAATTTATACCCCCCCACCATTTTTCTTTTTAAAGCCTTCTAAAGGATAAAGTTTTAAAATGGGAAAATCCTGCTTAATCTGCCTGCTATCTAATTTCTCCACCTCACCTGTTAGTATTCATCCAATCCTGAATTGCTTGGATTAGCTGGAATCCTGCCTCAGGCCTTTTGCCTTAGCTCTTAGCAGGATGGCTCCTCATCCTCAGGTTTGGTTTAAATCCTCCTCTGAGAGTATGTCCAGACAACCCCCATCAGAAGTAGCGCCACTCCTACTTCTGTCCTGGTCTGTACTCTATACTTCCTTAATAGCACTTAGCACCATCTGTAGACTTATTTACTTGTTTATGGTCTCTTTCCCCAGGTGTAATATACTCTTCTAGGGGATATGCACCTTATGTGTCCTGTTTGCCAAATACTCAGTAAATATGGAGTAAACATGAAGGAATGGTTTGGGAAGGCTTCATGGAAGAGTAGGACTTTGAGAATGTAAAACAGTTAAGAAGTGACTTATTGAATTTTACTTTTATTAGAGTTAATTTCATGTATGTGTAGATAGTACAAAAGCTTTAGTGGGGATTAGAGGTTCTCAGTGTCTTGTGACAGAAGGCAACACTGGATAATGGAAAATGTTAGAATGGAAATGACTTTGACAGCAATTAGCTTCATTGACTTGGGCAAGTTCCTTCTTAGCCTCAGTTTTCTTCACTTGGAAGAGGGTGGGGGTTGCTCATGAGGACTTGGAGGTCATCTGATTGACCTATCACCACTATCCTGTGTATCCTTTCAGTTCCAGAATTCTTTGTTCTTCCTTTGAACTTTAAAGCTGTTTTCTAAAGGGCTTTCCTCATAGCTCAGTTGGTAAAGGATCTGCCTGCAGTGCAGGAGACCCCAGTTTGATTCCTGGGTTGGGAAGATCTGCTAGAGAAGGGCTAGGCTCCCCACTCCAGTGTTCTTGGGCTTCCCTTGTGGCTCAGCTGGTAAAGAATCCGCCTGCAATGCGGGAGACCTGAGTTCAGTCCCTGGGTTGGGAAGATCCCCTGGAGAAGGGAAAGGCTACTCACTCCAGTATTTTGGCCTGGAGAATTCTGTGAATCTCCATGTAAAGAAATTAGATAGAATCCCCATGAAAGGTCATGGGGTTGCAAAGAGTCGGACACAACTGAGTGACTTTCACTTTCAAAGCTGTTTCACAGCATTGGAATAAAGACAGGTGAGAATTAGCTGAAGTATGTGATATGCTAGACAGTGTTTGAGATATGATTAGTATTAAGTGTGAGCGGTGTTGTTATGATGATGATAATGATGTATTTCAGTCCTAATCTATACTAGTCTCCTTTTGGGGGACAAAACTTCTAATAGTTTTCATAAGGGTTATGATATTGATATCTGAGCAGGTTGAATTTAAGATAAAAGGTATAAAACAGGGAAAAGGGGCCACATGATAAAGGCTATAATCCATAATAAATTCTAGTGAATACTCATGCACCAAATAACAGCATTAATGTTCATGGAGCAAAAACTGCAAGAAATTCAAGAAACCTACAGGAACAGTTGCAATGTCTACAGCCTACTAAAGCTAGGAAATAATAAAAATAAAATAGAATTCCAGTGTTTGGACAGTTAGGTCATTTTAGTTTACCTTGAAATGTATTTGTTTACCCCAGTCTCCAGTCTTATTTTCCAGTTGGAGTTTGGTAATATTTTTGATAGTATAGCTGTACTTTACGTTATGTTGAAAGATCTGAGATTTGAAGTATTGCTGCATTTTATTTTATTTATTTATTTATTTATTTTTTGTATTACTGCATTTTAAAGGTCACAGTTATTTAAAATTTATTTCACATAAGAACACAGATCAGAGATTTCCCTGGGGGTCCAGTGGTTAAGACTCAATCTTTCCACTGCAGAGGGCATGGGTTCCATTCCTGGTCAGGGAACTAGGGTCCTGCATGCCTTGCAGTGTGGTTAAAAAAAAAAAAAACAATTCAGATGAGATTATATTGACAGTTATTTTCTAGTTTTAAAAAAGGAATACATCAAAACTCTTAATTTTTTGCTGTTATGCTATTTTAAAATGACACCTTTATTTAAAAAAAAAAGAAAGCAGTAAAGTAGTGTATGAAGTAATGCTTGAGGATTTTCACAAATCTGTGACTGAATTGTTATAATACCTTTAGATCTTCTTTGTCACTTAATTAAAACAAAATCAGCCTTAATCTATGAAGCATAAGTAGACTTAAGACTTTTCTACATATATACTTTTCTATATATGTGTGTGTGTGTATACATATATATATATATAACTCTTCAGTAGTTGTAACCATACTATCCTTCAGTACTATAACCATAAATATTTACCAGTTTATAACTGGTATAATTTAAGTATGTCATGACTTTTTAAAAGGTTTCAAGTTTAAATTTATTGATTTTTTTTCATGTCTAGATTTAAGTGTTCATAAGGAAACATCTGAATGTGTTTAAGCAGATGTATTTCTATCCTAGATATAGTGCAATTCCATTTACATGCTTTTTTAAAACTTTTTCCTTCTCCACAGACTCAGTATTCATTTAAACAAGTATTTGGCACTCATACCACCCAAAAGGAGCTCTTTGATGTTGTGGCTAATCCCTTGGTAGATGACCTCATTCATGGCAAAAATGGTATGCTTCTTGAGTTTTGCTGAATTTTACTTTATCTCTTCTGGTAAAACTTTTTTGATACTTAAATATTTACTTTATGTTTGGTCTTGAACCCAGTTAATTTGTCAGGGTTGTGTTAAATGTGCTTTTTTGAGCAGTTGATTTTATTTTTTAATTCACTTATTTTTTAAAATGTCATGTTGGAGTATAGTTGATTTACAGTGTGGTGTTAGTTTCAGGTGTATAGCTAAGTGATTCAGTTGTACATATATCCATTCTTTTCCGATTCTCTCCCCATATAGGTTATTACAGAATGCTGAGTAGGTTTCCTGTGCTGTGAGCAGGTCCTTGTTGGTTTTCTGTTTTAATAGAGCAGCATGCGTATGTCGGCCTCAGACTCCCAATTTATCCCTCTCCTTTGGCACCCTTTGGTAATCTTAGGTTTGTTTTCTAGGTCTGTGAGACTGTTTCTGTTTTATAAATAGGTTTATTGGTATATATATATATATTTTTTTTTTTTTTTTTTAGATTCTACATGTAAGGGATATCATGTGATACTTTCTCTGATTTAGTTCACTTATTCACTTAGTATGATAATCTCTTTATGGCTGACTAATATTCTGTTTGATATATGGACCACGCCTTTATCCATTCATCTGTCGATGGACATTTGAAGTGGCTTCTATATCTTGGCTGTTGAAAGCAGCGCTGCAGTGAACACTGGGGTGCATGTATCCTTTAAAACCATAGTTTTCTCTGAATATATGCCCCAGTAGTGGTATTGCTGCATCTTATGGTAGCTCTATTTTTAGTTTTTTAAGGAATTTCCATACTGTTCTCCTAGTGGTGTACCAGTGTACATTCCCACCAACACTGTAGGAGGGTTCCCTTATCTCCACACCCTCTCCAGCATTTATTGTGGGTAGACTGTTTGATGATGGCTATTCTGACCAGAGTGAGGGGATATCTCATTGTGGTTTTGATTTGCATTTCTCTAATAACTAGCAATGCTGAGCATCTTTTCATGTGCCTCTTGGCCATCTGTATATCTTCTTTGGGGAAATGTCTATTTAGGTCTTCTGCCCATTTTTTATTTGATTGTTTTGCATGTAGAACTGCATGAACTGTATTTTGGAGATTAATCCCTTGTTGGTCACATCATTTACAAATGTTTTCTCCCAGTCTGTTGGTTGTTTTTTCATTTTGTTGATGGTTTCCTCTACTGTGCAAAAGATTTACATTTTAATTAGGTCCCATTTATTTTTGTTTTTGTTTTTATTACCCTTGAAGATGGGTCCAAAAATTATCTCACTGTGACTTATGTCAAAGTGTATGCTGCCTATGTTTTCCTCTAAGAGCTTTATAGTATCTGGCCTTACATTTAGGTCTTTAATCTATTTTGAGTTTATTTTTGTGTATGGTGTTCGAGAATATTCTAATTTCATTTTTTTTTACATGTAGCTGTCAAGTTTTCCCAGCACCACTTATTGAAGAGACTCTTTTCTCCATTGTATATCCTTGCCTCCTTTGTCGTAAATTGACCATAAGTGTGTGTGTTTCTGGGCTTTCTTTCCTGTTCCTTTGACCTATAATTTTTTGTGTTTTTGTATTTTTTTGTGCCAGTACTATAGCATTTCGGAGAAGGCAGTGGCACCCCACTCCAGGACTCTTGCCTGGGAAATCCCATGGATGGAGGAACCTGGTAGGCTGCAGTCCATGGGGTCACACAGAGTTGGACACGGCTGAAGTGACTTAGCAGCAGCAGCAGCACTATAGCATTTTGATTTCTGTAGGTTTGTAGTATAGTCTGAAGTCAGGGAGCTTGATTCCTCCCACTTCGTTTTTCTTTCAAAGGATTGCTTTGACTAGTGGGGTGTTTCCATATAAATGTAAAAAAATTTTTCTTCTAGTTCTATCAAAAATGCCGTTGGAAATTTGAGAGAAACTGCATTGAATCTGTAGATTGCCTTGGGTAGTATATTCATTTTGACAGTACTGATTCTTCCAATCCAAGAACAGGGTATAACTTTCCATTTGTTTGTGTCATTTTCAACTTCTTTCTTCAGTGTCTTATAGTTTTCAGAGTACAGATTTTTTGCCTCCCTAGGTAGGTTCAGTCCTAGGTTTATTATTTTTGATGTGATAGTAAATGGGATTATTTCCTTAATTTCTCTTTCTAGTCTTTCATTGTTAGTGTATAGGAATGCAAGAGATTTTTGTGTATTAACTTTGTATCCTTCAAGTTTACCAGATTCATTGAGGAGCTGTAGTAGTTTTCTGGTAGCATCTTTAGGATTTTCTATGTGTAATAATATCATGTCATCTTCAAACAGTGACAGTTTTACTTCTTTTCCTTCTGGACTTCTTTTTTCGTTTCTACTCTGATTGTTGTGGCTAGGACTTCTAATGCTATGTTAAATAAAAGTGGTGAGTAAACATCCTCATCTTGTTCCTAATCTTAGAGGGAATGCTTTCAGCTTTTCACCACTGAGTATGGACATAAACTGCAGGTTTGTCATATATGGCCTTTATTATGTTGATGTGTGTGTTCTCTCTATGCTCACTTTCTGGAGAGGTTTTTGACAAAAGCATTTTCTGCATTTATTGAGATGATCAAAGGATTTTTATTCCTCAGTTTGCTAATGTGGTGTATCACACTGATTGATTTGTGGATACTGAAAAATGCTGTATCCTTGAGATAAATCCCACTTGATAATAGTTTAAGATCCTTTTTATGTGTTGACTGAAAAGACGAACAACATCAGAGTTGCAAGTTAAGTTCTACTTGGGGCAAAATGAGGACTGCAGCCCAGGAGACAGCACATCAAATAGCTCTGAGAGACTGGTTTAAAGAGGTAGTGGGGGAAGGGTCAATGTGTAAGATTTGGTGAAGGGGGATTTCAAAGCAATCAAGTGCTTCCATTACAAAAGCTTTTCTGCTTGTCATGAGGAGCTGATGTCACTATGAAGGGATTTAGTAATTTTCTAGATATGACGAGAGGCAAGGATTTGGATCAGTTCCTAAAAATATCTATCTAAAGACCTGTTCCACTAGTTTCCCTACAGCACAGAGTGACTCACTCTCCAGCCTGAATTCCCCTCGGGATGTTGAAGCTTGGCAGCTGAAGGAACATAGGGTTCAGGTGGCAAATGAGCTTCTTGTTCAGTTGCTGGCAAGTGCTCTTGGCAAGTGCCAGTTTGTAGTTGATAATGTATTGTTGGTTGTGCTTTGCTAGTATTTTGTTGAGAATTTTAGCATCTATACTCCTCAGTCATGTTTGCCTGTAATTTTCTTTTTTGTGATAATTCTCTGATTTTGGTATCAGGATGATGTGGCCTTATAGAATGAGTCTGGGAGAGTCCCTTTCTCTGCAGTTGTTTTAGAAGAGTTTCAGAAGAATCGATGTTAACTATTCCCTAAACATTTGATAGAATTCTCCTGTGAAACTGTCTGGTCTTGGACTTTTGTTTGTTGGGAGTGCCTTTTTTTTTTTTTATGAAGTATAGTTGATTTACAATGTTATGTTAATTTCTTCTGTACTTCAGAGTGACTCAGTTATACACATATATATTCTTTTTTATATTTTCAATTATGGTTTGTCACAATAGTAAATATATTTCCTTTTGCTATACAGTAGGACCTTGTTCATCCATCCTATGTATAATAATTTGCCTCTACTGACTCCCAACTCCTCCTTCCCTCTAGTACTCCCTTTTCTCTGAGACCACAAATCTATTCTCTATATCTGTGAGTCTGTTTTTGTTTTGTAGATATATTGATTTGTGTCATATTTCAGTTCCACATATAAGTTTTACCATGTTATTTGTCTTTTTCTGACTTAGTATGGTAATCTCTAAAGCCATCCTTGTTGCTGCAAATGGCATTGTTTCATTCTTTTTTTTTTTGGCTGGGTGATATTCCAGTATATCTGTGTATGTAAGTGTGTGCACCATATCTTTATCTGTTCATCTGTCAGTGAACATTCATGTTTCCATGTCTTGGCTACTGTAAACCATGGACACTGGGGTGCATGTGTCCTTTCAAAACTCAGTTTTCTTTAGATATATGTCCAGGAGTGGGATTGCTGCCTCCTGTAATAGCTCTAATTTAGGTTTTTAAGTAACCTTCATACTGTTCTCCTTTGTGGTATACCAATTTACAAACCCACCAACAATATAGAAGGGTTCTCTTTTCTCCACGCCCTCTCCAGCATTTGTTGTTTGTAGACTTCTTGATGAGGGCCATTCTGACTGGTGTGAGGTGGTACTTATTGTAGTTCTGAATTGCATTTCTCTAATAACTAGTGATGCTGATCATCTTTTCATGTGGCTCTTGGCGCCGAAAAATTGATGCTTTTGAACTATGGTGTTGGAGAAGAGTCTTGAAAGTCACTTGGACTGCAAGGAGATTCAACCAGTCCATCCTAAAGGAGATCAGTCCTGGGTGTTCATTGGAAGGACTGATGCTGAAGCTGAAACTCCAATACTTTGGCCACCTCATGTGAAGAGTTGACTCATTGGAAAAGACCCTGATGCTGGGAGGGATTGGGGGCAGGAAGAGAAGGGGATGACAGAGGATGAGATGGCTGGATGGCATCACCAACTTCATGGACATGAGTTTGGGTGGACTCCAGGAGTTGGTGATGGACAGGGAGGCCTGGCGTGCTGCCATTCATGGAGTCGCAAAGAGTCGGACACGACTGAGCGACTGAAATGAACTGAACTGAACTGAATAACTAGTGATGCTGATCATTTTTTCATGTGCCTCTTGGCCATCTGTATGTCATCTTCGGGAAAATGTCTCTAAATAGACATTTAGAGACTTCTTCTGTCCATTTTATGATTGGGTTGATTGTAAAAGATATGCATATTGTTGTTGTTTAGTTGCTCAGTTGTGTCTGACTCTGTGACCCCACAGACTGCAGCACTCCAGGCTTCCCTGTCTTTTACCATCTCCCGGAGCTTGCTCAGAGTCATGTCCATTGAGTCAGTGATGCCGTCCAACCATCTCATCCCGTCAT